ACTGATCGTTTTTCAGATTTCACCCCCCCCCCCACCATTGGTACCTAAGTTCTCCCAATTGACTATTGTCTCACGTGGGTACCTTTATACTCACTATTAAAGCAAACCAAGGATAGAATGAGTAAATAATACTCATATTTTAGTCTGACATACATTGGAAAGGAGATAAAAATTAGATAGAATGTACTTCTACATCAGAAGAACATGATATGCAAGAAGGTATTAGAATTTCACTTTGCCTGGTCTGTACCTGTGTCATAAAAAAACAACCTGGCCCCTGATCGTTTTTCAGATGTCACCCCGCCCCCCCATAGGTACCTAAGCTCGCCCTTTTGACTTTTGTCTCACGTGGGTACCTTTATACTCACTATTAAAGCAAACCAAGGATAGAATGAGTAAATAATACTCATATTTTAGTCTGACATACATTGGAAAGGGGAAAAAAATTAGATAGAATGTACTTCTACATCAGAAGAACATGATATGCAAGAAGGTATTAGAATTTCACTTTGCCTGGTCTGTACCTGTGTCATAAAAAAACAACCTGGCCCCTGATCGTTTTTCAGATGTCACCCCGCCCCCCCATAGGTACCTAAGCTCGCCCTTTTGACTTTTGTCTCACGTGGGTACCTTTATACTCACTATTAAAGCAAACCAAGGATAGAATGAGTAAATAATACTCATATTTTAGTCTGACATACATTGGAAAGGGGAAAAAAATTAGATAGAATGTACTTCTACATCAGAAGAACATGATATGCAAGAAGGTATTAGAATTTCACTTTGCCTGGTCTGTACCTGTGTCATAAAAAAACAACCTGGCCCCTGATCGTTTTTCAGATGTCACCCCGCCCCCCCATAGGTACCTAAGCTCGCCCTTTTGACTTTTGTCTCACGTGGGTACCTTTATACTCACTATTAAAGCAAACCAAGGATAGAATGAGTAAATAATACTCATATTTTAGTCTGACATACATTGGAAAGGGGAAAAAAATTAGATAGAATGTACTTCTACATCAGAAGAACATGATATGCAAGAAGGTATTAGAATTTCACTTTGCCTGGTCTGTACCTGTGTCATAAAAAAACAACCTGGCCCCTGATCGTTTTTCAGATGTCACCCCGCCCCCCCATAGGTACCTAAGCTCGCCCTTTTGACTTTTGTCTCACGTGGGTACCTTTATACTCACTATTAAAGCAAACCAAGGATAGAATGAGTAAATAATACTCATATTTTAGTCTGACATACATTGGAAAGGGGAAAAAAATTAGATAGAATGTACTTCTACATCAGAAGAACATGATATGCAAGAAGGTATTAGAATTTCACTTTGCCTGGTCTGTACCTGTGTCATAAAAAAACAACCTGGCCCCTGATCGTTTTTCAGATGTCACCCCGCCCCCCCATAGGTACCTAAGCTCGCCCTTTTGACTTTTGTCTCACGTGGGTACCTTTATACTCACTATTAAAGCAAACCAAGGATAGAATGAGTAAATAATACTCATATTTTAGTCTGACATACATTGGAAAGGGGAAAAAAATTAGATAGAATGTACTTCTACATCAGAAGAACATGATATGCAAGAAGGTATTAGAATTTCACTTTGCCTGGTCTGTACCTGTGTCATAAAAAAACAACCTGGCCCCTGATCGTTTTTCAGATGTCACCCCGCCCCCCCATAGGTACCTAAGCTCGCCCTTTTGACTTTTGTCTCACGTGGGTACCTTTATACTCACTATTAAAGCAAACCAAGGATAGAATGAGTAAATAATACTCATATTTTAGTCTGACATACATTGGAAAGGGGAAAAAAATTAGATAGAATGTACTTCTACATCAGAAGAACATGATATGCAAGAAGGTATTAGAATTTCACTTTGCCTGGTCTGTACCTGTGTCATAAAAAAACAACCTGGCCCCTGATCGTTTTTCAGATGTCACCCCGCCCCCCCATAGGTACCTAAGCTCGCCCTTTTGACTTTTGTCTCACGTGGGTACCTTTATACTCACTATTAAAGCAAACCAAGGATAGAATGAGTAAATAATACTCATATTTTAGTCTGACATACATTGGAAAGGGGAAAAAAATTAGATAGAATGTACTTCTACATCAGAAGAACATGATATGCAAGAAGGTATTAGAATTTCACTTTGCCTGGTCTGTACCTGTGTCATAAAAAAACAACCTGGCCCCTGATCGTTTTTCAGATGTCACCCCGCCCCCCCATAGGTACCTAAGCTCGCCCTTTTGACTTTTGTCTCACGTGGGTACCTTTATACTCACTATTAAAGCAAACCAAGGATAGAATGAGTAAATAATACTCATATTTTAGTCTGACATACATTGGAAAGGGGAAAAAAATTAGATAGAATGTACTTCTACATCAGAAGAACATGATATGCAAGAAGGTATTAGAATTTCACTTTGCCTGGTCTGTACCTGTGTCATAAAAAAACAACCTGGCCCCTGATCGTTTTTCAGATGTCACCCCGCCCCCCCATAGGTACCTAAGCTCGCCCTTTTGACTTTTGTCTCACGTGGGTACCTTTATACTCACTATTAAAGCAAACCAAGGGTGGAAATAGTAAGTAATACTCTTATTGTACTCGCTTATGCATATGTAAGGAGAAAATAATTAGAAATCAGGTACTTCTACATCAGAAGAACATGATATGCAAGAAGGTATTAGAATCCACTGGTATCTCAGCTCTCCCATCCTGCTATTGTCTCTCGAGGGTATCTTTACACTCACTATTTATGCAAACCAAGAGTGGAAATAGTAAATAACATTCGTATTTTATTCTTATATACATGCGTGTGGACAAAATAAGTAGAATCTTGAATGCGAATACTTTATTTAAATCGTAATAAGCAATATTATGATATTAAATTTTTCAATGTGAAATGTTAATAGTCTATGAACTGAAATATTTTTAGTGAGATACAATTAAAACTTTTCTAATCTTCCTAGCAAACATTATAGATTTCCCTACACCATATATCTCAATTTCCAATGTATTCCACGATCTCTTCCCTTTTACAACTTATGTGTGCGTGTGTGTGTGTGTGTGTGTGAGAGAGAGAGAATTAGTGGATGAAGGCGGGGAGGAATGAACGTGGGATGCGAAAAGGAGAAAACTGTGTGAAAATGCTAGAGTGATAATACAAGTAGTATAGGGAGGTAAGAGTAGGAGGAGGAGGTTTCAGAGTATTTGAAAAAGAAAGGGAAAAAAACGAGATGGATCAGGATAGCAAGTTATAATGGGCGAGGAAGAAAGCAAATGCAGAAGAGGTGGAGGACAAACAGAATTGTGGAAACATGTGTTAGAGAGCTATAGGTAGGATAAAAGAATGGAGGAAGATATGTTAAATGAGTATGGTAGAGGAAAGTAATGGATGGAGAAGTTAGATGATGAAACGAATGGAAATGAGGGACGATTGTGAGAGACGAAGGAGTGGATGATTGTGGAAGAACAGCGGAAACGGTGGGCAAATGAGAAAGATTGAGTGAGAGGGAGTGGAAGGACGGGAGTTGAAAAGATTAATCGCTTATATATATATTTTACATACATATAAAAAATACACATTTAGAAAGTAAAAGATAGTTCGTAAAAATATATTTATACAATTATACACATCTCTATACATCTCTAGATAGTACCATTTATGTAACGAAATTTGTACAACAGATACATACTTACCTAAACTTGAAATCATTTAATCAAACAGTATCTATATTTGTTAAATATCAATAGTATAGTATTTAGCTGAATTTTCTATAAAACTACAAAACTTTATTCTTTCCTCTTCCGAATGATCTTTTTGTTTGTTTTATTTTCTATTAAATAAGTATTCTTTTTCAAGGTAGAAGTTACAACTTTGGTCACACATTTGCACAAGTCCTGAGTTATTTGCTAAATAATATATACAATATATATTATGTGAATATATACTATACTTTTTTAAAGTTACTATTACAACTATGTTATTATTGTACTATCACTTTGTCACTAACAATGTTATGTCTAAAATAAACTATATAGTCGTTCATTGTTTTATAATGCTTATTTTGATGTTAAACGTAAAATGATTGATATATATATATTGGGTCATAAAATAGGTATGTATCCTTTTCTCGAACGACGACGCGTGCGCGACGCTATTTGAAATCAAACCCTCCGCGATCTGGAATAGTTTTATTTCAGTTCTGATACAGTGAACGGCGTTAGAATTTGTGTGTCGTCGATATATGATCTCGATAAGAAAATGTAGTTCTCTGACAAGATCAATTAAAAAATGAAGCTTGTTATTTTTCTATCATTACGATTAGTACTGGTAGCAGAAAGATAGCTGTCTCTTAATAAATGAATAAACATTACGGTGTTACCAAAGTGTATCAAGAATTCTAAGCAAGATTTTTCATTAAAAATAGTGCAGTACAGCAATGGCAAAATTCTTAGCAACCGTCAAGGCGATTATCACGCGACTGGTTTTCGCTTCTCACGGTTTCATAGCTATTTGGCAAGTGACTACTTTTAAGAAGAATCCTCTCTTTTGGTACCTCAGCTCTCCCATCCTGCTATTGTTTCTCGAGGGCATCTTTACACTCACTATAAAAGAGAACCAAGAATGGAAATGGTAAATAACAATCGTATTTTTTACTCTTACATACATTCATAAGGAGCAAAATAATTAAAAACTTGGAAGTGAATAATGTAATTTAGAAAGGCAATAACGAATATTATGATATAAAATTTTTCAGTGTGAAATGGTAATTGTTTGTGAACAGAAATCTTTTTCCTAGTCTTTCTATCAAACATTTGTCTTTGCATTTATAAGCTAAATTAATTTTATACTCAAATATTCGAGTTTTCGAGTTGTACAACATTTTTATGGAAGATTCGTCTACGAATATGTATAAATAAGAATTTTAGACAGAGTAAAACAAGCCTACTTTCCTGAGCAAGGAAGGGTGTGTTGTTGTAGGATCATCTCACTATGACAGTCGGAAATTGGAGCATTAGTGGCGGGGGTGGGACGAGACACAATCCATTATACGTCGTTCGGAGTAGCTCGAAAATTATCGACACTCAGAAAAGGCTACCTGTAACAGTGACCTCTTTCTCTAATATCCTTCCCAATTCAAATCCCGTGATCGATTTGCCCGAGGATTCAGCAGAAACCCTGGTTGTCCCTCTTGAAAAAATTAATGCATCCCGATCACTCTCGACCAACCGATATTAATCTCGTCAATCGACTACATATTATATAAATCGACTGCATATTATTAAATTATTATATATAAAATATACAATCAACGATAAGGAACATTATGTTCTTAAACTGATCTTGATCCCAGAAATGATTGAATCTTGTACGTTCATCTTATCAAAAATGATTAAAGGGAAACTTTTCCAACTTTAACACCAATATTTAAGCGTTCGATTTTACACGATTCGACCTGTAATAATGCACAATAGGTTCTGCCCGTCGGTGTTCCTATACCTCAGCAGCGTGGTGCCCGCTATATGGCTTCTAGAGTTGGATAAGGTCGACAGAAGACTGAAAGCTTTCGAATCTAATGTCAACATATCGGAGAACTTGGACCTGGATCTGACCAACCTGGCTGCGGAGGATTTGAAGCATTTGGAGAAGGCGTTAGGTGTGAGTGAAACTTTCGATTCCCCTGTGAACAGGATTCGTGCGAACGATTTAGAAAGAATGATCGCATTAACTTGTTATCCAGGTGAACATTCACTTGCCAGACATTCAAATATCTACGGAAACGTGGGTCACTCTGATAGAACAATTCCTGATGCTGGTCCTGATCATTGGAAGGTGGATGCTGCCGAAGGGTGACCTGACGCGTGATCAACTGAGTCAATTGTTGCTAGTTTACATAGGGACGGCTGCCGACATCATAGAGTTCTTCGACTCTTTCAAGGAAGACAGAATAGCTCGTGAACCCGTGCTGGTGTACCTGACACTAGGCATTTGGGCGTGGTCTTTGATGCAATTCACTGTCGTACTGACTGCTACCAAGTCCAGGAAATCCAGGTTGTCCTCAGGGAATGCTGTGAAAAAGAGGATGCACAATGAAACCAGCTGTTGCAGCATCGACGTATGGGGAATTGCCTTGAACATGCTTCTTCAGGTATCTTTTACTACTACTTAGAAATGTTTGTATCGCAGCAACACTTACACTCCATTGTAATTTCAGGATGGTCCTTTCCTGGCATTCAGGCTAATCCTCATCATTCACTACAGCATCGTCAGCTACATGAACATCTTCTTCACTTGCAAGAATACTCTGGTCATACTTCTGCAGCTCTACAGGCTGTACGTAGTGCAAACGGAGAACAAAAGCAAGCAGAAAAAGAAGCCTGTTATGGGTAACATCAGCATCATTTCGAAAGGTGATGTATATAGGGATGTTAGGGCCAGGAAGGTCTGCGAAAACAGAAGAAGAAAGAAAAAGAAGGACAGAGATGTGGAGGCTAACTACACGGACAGCGAAGAGACCACTGAAGAGACAGATAAATTTGATTCCTCTCCTAGAAACATAGGCCATTCTAAACGGTACCGCGTGATCATTCGTCTTCCAACTGAAAATATAAATTTCTAATCGCGTTTCCTTTCTGAAATTCAACAGAAAATCTAGGCAAGACACTGGCTACTCCACGTCCAGTTCTCGCAACTCTGCGAAGCGGAACAGGTCGCAAAAGAATGAACATAAAAGGAGATCTGCACACAGAGAGGAATCGAAGCACGAAGTTTCCTCTGACGATGAGAGACGCAGGAGGAGAAGCGAGAAAAAGTCGTCCGAGAAGAGCGACAAGAAGCATTCTGATGGAATCAGATCAAAATGCCGGAATGACGATTCGAGTAAAAGTTCTAGTAAAAGCAAAAGGTGTAAGGAGAACAGCGAGGACGAGTCCACGACTGAAGAAATGGTTGTGAAGTCTGTTAGCGAGGAAAGCGAGTCAGAATCAGAGAAAAGGAGGTAAATGAATGTATGCTAATATAAAAGATCTAACATACATTTGATTATTTGCTAAATGTTTGGAGTGTCTCTACAGGCACGCCCATCGAAAACGAAGACAGAACAGAGACTGACAACGAAGTCTCGGCATAACTGCTGTGCTATGCGTCTATTCTGCGATTGTGGTTGTTTGCATGTTGTTCATACATGCAGCCATAAACGATGGCTTGGTGTTGACTACAACCGTGAAAAGAAGACTTTCTATCAGCTAACTCCAGCAAATTTACATTTAATTTCTCTATGTTTGATACAAGTGACCGAAATGTCTGAAGAATGTATTTGAAGTACAAAGACGTAATGCATTTCAAGAGCACAAAATTATAATATTATTTCTATGTCTTATTTAAACAAGTTCAACGTTCGAATACATTAAATAAAGACGGTAATTAAATGTCTAATAAAACGAAATCAATATATTAACTCTATTTTCATATATAACTACCCGTGTTTTTAACAACTTAAATTATTGATTGAATATATTTGTACTATGATTCTGCTCCGACATCCTATTAAATAAAGAAATGGATTTAGGTTTATGCGTATTTTTTCAACTTATCTGAAGTACGACGATTAAAAATGAATGTGCATAAAATTCGAAACGGTCCTTTGAATTCAATGGATAGAGCTATTGGATTGTGAAGGATTTTGACGAAGTAACGTACTTCATTGGCTGTAATTCCATAAAACTCCTCTCAACCCGTTTACTATTAAGTTAAACAATTGCTCAGATTGTCAAATTCTTGCACGTTTCTAGCCACTTTATGCTCTGAGCGGCGTCTAAACTATCGATATAGTTAGCTAAGTCGTCCTGGTGGGTTCCAGTGGCAGCGCAATACAGCATCGCTGTATTTTCTAACAGCTCTTGCAAAGACTGAGTCTTTATCGTTGTTGTATTCATCATAATATTCATAGAATTATTTTTATTTTCTTTCTTCTCCAGATTGATGGTACTTGACTTTTGGGACAGTTCTAAGTACTTCAAGTTGTCATTGTGTTTATTTGTTGTTGGCGGATCTGCTGTTGGTGCAATCTTAAATAATGTCTGTTTATTTGGAACACCTGACAAGGTCTTCCTTTCGTTCGAATTATTCTTCATATCCTTCAGTTTCTCTACCGTCAAATGAAATCGCCGCCACTTTCCTTCCGGGAATTTTATATTCATATTTCTCATCATGGAGCTCTCCTGAGCATTTCGTTTAACGTTCTCCTCTTTATTCGACACGTCCTTCATCCGAATGTTCTTCAAATTGGCGTAGAATCCCTGGTTCTCGATCGCTGGCTTCTTAGTGCTACTCTTATTGTATTCGGACAAGATTTTTGCTATCTCCGAAGTGTCGCTGGCGCACCAAACCTTATTGCCATCAGACACTTTTTTGGCATTGACTTCTTTGGTAGAGGTTTCAAGGGACGACTTGTTTTCGCTAGCATTCGTTTCTTTTGGTATTAGAGCTCTGCTTTGCTGCGAATTCTCGAGGAGATATTTTCTGAAAGTGAATTCAGGTTTGTTCCCACGTTTCATAGGAATCTGTTTCAGGACCATCTTTGAATTCTCTGACAAATCCTCGGTGGGAATTGCATTATTAAGCACTGAAGGTATATCGAATAAAGACTCATTATCTTCTAATTGTATGAGGTTCATGTTGTTAGGCAATGGTCTTAAAAACTGAGTATCTTTTCCTTCTAAAGTGTTGACCAAAACCAGTGGGTGACTAGAAGACCGCATCATATCCTGCACCTTCATCTGTCCACTTTGAAGAGTTCTATGATTGCTAAAGGTAACGGACTTCTGAGAATTAGCAACATAAACCTTCTGTGCTGGAAACAGCCGCGTTTTCGCCATTTGATTAAAGTTCTTAGCATTCTGGGACATCATAATCGCAGAATAATTGTTTGATATTTTGTTCCCATCTATCATTTTCTGTAACTTTTCTTTATTACCGGCAGTTGATTTATACTTGCTAGTAGATTCCACGATATTCCTCGTTGACGATTGCTTATTCGATTCTTTTGTAATGTTAGGTGACTTGTTCTCGTTTAACTTGTTTATTTTCCCCTCGACATTGGTTTTATAATTGGGAGTCATCACCTGCGAGCAATAACCCAGAACACAGTGAAAACTCTCGTGCATACAACTCTCGAAAGATTTGAGTTTCTTAGATGAAACAGATGTCCTTGCATTTCTTAGGTTCGAAGAGCTCTGAGTCATCTTGGACCTCCTTTTCCGCTTTTTTTCACCAGAAGAAGGTAAGGAATCACAGTGAGGATCTACAGACACTACTTCTATTTCAGGACGATCGACTATCTCATGGTAAGAGAGACCATCGAAACTGGTATAGTAACGGCCCAAGTATTCTGCAGCCAGGCCTACCTGAAAAAGGCAGTTAACATCAAAAGGTAATATTCCCTGTCTCTCATAGGAGTAAGAGTCTTACCTGAGGATGAAAGACTGGTCTCTCATGCATACCATGCACCGGCCATTCTTTCCACTCCAGTTCATCCCTTGCTGTAGGTGCTTGATAAGTTGCTCCTACATTGTACATCTTTCGTGTGACCGACCGTGTATTCATGTATGGCATCGTGGAAGACTTTCCCTGTTTAGTAGATCCTAAATTGAAGAATGTTTCCTTCTTCTTCATTGAAATCAATTGTTGTCTTTGTCTTGGGTATCCTTTATCTAGATCCTTCTTCGTTACACGTATCGGATTCCTACGAATTTCCCTTGTGCCACGTCTGCAAACAATTTTCATTACAGAAACAAGTCTGCTCAATCCATAATCACAGACACATTATCTGCAAGACTTAAAATTTACATATTCCCAGTAAAGGCTGACACTTGTTAGCAGTACATGTCGACGCATAAACATAAGCGTAGCTCCAATTTAAAATACATCGATGTGATTATTGTGAACAAAATTGAAAACATAATGAATAAATATCTTTGTAATTAATCTTTTTATAATTTATTTAAGTCTGCGGTAATGTTATGATACTGAGACGTCTGTGATCACGAGTTAATTATCGGATTCTCAAGAGAATATAATAAATTAAATTATAAATAAACCGATAACATTACAACATTCTCGAATTCTTCGAAATAATAAAACAAGAATTTCTTACGCCCTTCTTGTCGTCCGATGAATCCGCCTAACTTTCGCGGGCGCACCGGAAGTGGATCCGCCGCTGCTGGTTTCCGTAGAATCTTTCACATAATCGCTATCATCCTTGTATTTTCTCTGTTGTTTAAACATAATCATTCCTGGAGGCAGTTTCTGCAGGATCTCGATTCTTTTGTAATCGGTTGGCGACTCACCGATCTCCGTGGACAACGCTTCTGACTCCGATCGTTTTCGGAGCGTCATTTTCGATTCATTACCGAGCTCGATCATTCGTCGATCGTTCTGCATCCGGTCTTTCGTCCATTTCTCAGATTGCCTGTGCATCGAGGATCTGTCATTTTCTTTTCCTATTACTGCGATCACGCTCACATCGTCGTCCTCCTTGTGCTCCTTCGAATTTATATTCAGCTTCGTTGAATGGTCCATTGACTTCCTTTTCGTCAGCTAAACATCCGGCGACAACAACTGCTGTACGACTCCGGTGAACAGTGAAATTTGTTTCTACACCATGGAACATACGAGTATCACTGTAGTCGATGAACAGGAAGGATAATCGTGGTTTCCGATGTTGGTGGCGAGACGTTAAGTATTCCGAATGTTTTAAAATTAACTGCGTTGTTATAACGATAGGTTTTGTTCGGTTGCAGGTGATTATATTGAGAGTGTAATCGATGTGACGTTGGGTTAGAGGCACGAGACCCATGCTTTTGTTTCTCGCGGGCTGAAGGGAACAACGGTGTCATCTACCGATTACTGCTTCAACGACAATGTCGATGCTTCGTTTTGGAAATGAAGCGCTGTACCGACTAAGTGCGTGTGAAATAATGAATATGCATTCGAAGATTTTGGCTTGAGACAAAAATGTTCTTTGATAAAACAGATGCACGCGGTTGAAGTAATTGCATTTGATTTTATAATGGAATTAATCGCGGATCCGTTATCAAAGAACATTATTATCTCAAGTCAAAATCTTGAAATATGTATTCATTATTTCAAATGTACATAATGTACATTGTTCAACTATTTTGTTCGATGCTTCTCATTATTTCCATGTTCTCATAAAAGAAAGATGCCATATTGGCTAAGAAAGTATAATTTGTAATTTTTCTGTAGGTCTGTAAATTTTATTAGAATATCTTGAAATGTGAGAGAACCATGTCTTCAACACTTTAATATTCATTTTGCTACTTTTGAATAGTACTTTCTGTTACTTAAATGTTGCCAATAAAAACAAGATTTTAAGTAAAGCAACTATAACAGTGAACAGACTACTTGACAAAGTTGAATAAGATATTTATTGTTATTAGAGCATGATAAAATCTCTATATTCTAATATTTGCATGAAAATATATGCAGATAGAGTTTATGAAGACAGAAGGAAGTATCATTTAGAATAAATTATATTAGACAATAATAAGGAAAAGAAAATGGGAAACCGTGGAATGAAACTCAGTGGCGTTATGGCCGCCCGCGAGCGCTGATTTTTATTCCAAACAAAATACTAAAACTAGAATGGCTATCCGTTCGTACACGCGAGTATTGCATTAGATGTATAGAAATACGAAATATAATATATGTATATTATATATCATCGCTCGTATTGCACGTAGACGACTAGAACTGAAATATACAACATTCATATGTATAATAATGTCCTTTGGCACTCTCTATTCCAGCTGGGATTTATTTACAAAGAAAAGGAGAAACTCAGTGATTTCTCTTCAATTCATGTTGTCCGTAGTTAGGGCGAGGGTGGTCAACACGGATCGTCTGTTAGGATTTACCCCGAGGTTCTCCCAATTTATCCACGACAGTCGTGCGGTCAGATCTGCAAAACAACATAAACAATAAATCACTCGACCCTTATGTCAACAGTTATAATTGTGTATAACATTTAATTACATTATACTGTATAGTTTAAATATACATATAATGTAAATCAAATCATTATTATCCAAGAAAGTAAAAACTAAAAGTTCTTACATTACATTCAGAGAAAATGAGTAATTTTCCTAATTGTGGATAAGAATGTTAAACAAATTAGCGGATGCCACTAATGAATTTTCCAGAAAATTGTCACTTCTGAAATCGATTACTGATTCATTTGT